GTGGGCTGGCTGGTGACCACTGGTGACCCTGAAGATGTGGTTTTTGTTTTTTCCCAAGGCCTCTTCCTCCCAGGGGTAGCCAATACTAACATAAAAGTGTTTCCTGAGATTGATTTGGCCTTCCTAGCCCCACTCCACCACCCACGCCCAGGCCAACCAATCCTCAGGCCTCACCACGGACATCCTTGCTGGCACCCCAGCTGGGACGCCCAGCCCAGACTCTCCACTTGATTTTTCAGAAAATGAGCAGCCAAAATTGGGCCATGGAGGCAGTTGTCAATGCCCTGGGATGGGATGAGGGGTGCCTGAGGTTAGGCAGGCGGAGATCAGGTATGAGAAAAACTTGATCTCAGGGCCCCATCATCCTTATTATCATTGTCATCATCATCCACCCACCCCTGCTCAAAATGGCTCCCTATTACCTGCAGGATGAAGATCTAGGGCAGTAGTTCCCAGGATCTGACACTGATAGAGTCATCCAATTTCATTTTAGGATACCCTCCCCTCTTTCCTCGTGCTTGTTCAGTCAGCAAGAATGTGTTGCACACCTACTATGTACCTACTGTTCTAGGTGCTGGAGATACAGCTTGTGAACAAAACTGGAAGAATCCCTGCCTTCATGGAGCCCACATTCCTCCAGCCATGCCTGTAACAGCCCAGGCCCTCTCACACTCCAGGCCTTTGCTCATACTGATCCCTTTTCTATTCTTCAGTCACCTGGGGGACTTCTACTCATCCTCTAAAGCCCCATTTGAAGCCTCCCTTTCTCCCCCCCCCCCCCCAGTGGGTTAGGTATCCTCTCTGAGCTCCCACCTTCACCTAGGCTCATCCCATGCTTAGTTACTTTCCAGCCCCACATCTGCCCCCCCACCAAGCTCATGTGTTACCAGGGCAGGGGCTGTGCCTTCCCTCCCTGGGACCCCAGCACCTGCCCAGGGCCTGACTCTACATGCACCCTCCCTAAGTCTCCACCTGCCCCTTGAGCTCGGAGCTGAGCAGGATGAGGCATCAGGCATCCAGGGCCCCTTTGGAGAATTCAAGGGCATTCTGAAACCTCTGCCTGGGTGCATCTTACTCCTGGCATACCGTGAGAGGGAACCACAGGAGCCAAGGCACAGAGTGTCTCCAGCAAAGGCAGGTGGAGGAGTGCAGAGAGCTAGGGGTAGAGAAGACAGGACATGCAGGTCATGAATGCCGGATCAGGACGGACCTGGTCTGCAGGAGTGGGGGAGCTGTTAAAGGGTTTTATGTAGCAAAGACACAAGAAGGCATCAGTCTTCGTCCAGGTGAGTGGATGGCAGGAAGTGGACAGATGATCAAGCACAGGGTCAAGCCTTAGTGACCTTTGGATTTATGAAAGGGGAGCATAAAGGAGGGCTCCAGTTTCCTGCTGGGCTCCCCAGGGAAGCTGGTTTTTCCGTTTTCTTTCCTCTGTGTTCCTTCTCCTCCTCCCAATTGAGGATACCCGAGACAGAGCGCAGCGCAGGGGCCTGGCTCCTGCTCCCAACCTAGCCTCAAGGTTGACACGGTGGTGATCGGGTGGGTATCTGTGTAGCAGACCCTCCCCCACCTGGCCCGGCCTAAGGGTCCTGCCCATCAGGGGGAAACAGGGCGGGATCCCTGAGCCCAGCTACCCCTACCACCCACCTCATTTACATGGGATTTGCATGGGCTCATTTCATGCCTCAGTGCTCAAGGCTTCCCTCTACCCAGGCAAGTGTTCCATCCCATAAGCCCCTTCTCTTGGGCCTATCAGGGCACCAAGATCATCCCCACAGGGAAGAGAGCAGCTGCCAAGGTCCAGAGGTGGCACGGACCTCACTAAAGATTATCTAGCAATCAAGGTGGGACCAGGGCTTGAGCCACAGTCTCCTCGCCAGCTGCTCCACCTCTTTCGGGTGGAATCCGCTCCCCGCCCTGGGCCTTTGCCACCAGCCAGGGACCCCTGTGCTGACGTTACTTGGCTGAGAGCTGGGGAAAATGGACAGACTGGGCCCAGACATAGACTGCGTGCCCTCCAAGGCAAGGCAGATTCGTCTCAGAACCCAGAACAATGTGCAAGAGGGGGCCCACAGAAGTCCTGATCAGCCCTTGCTCTTACATGTGAGAATAAAGCTCAGAGAAGGCCAGGGTCAGTGAGTGGCCCAGAATCACAAAGGGTGATGTGGCACCAAGTCTCTGTCCCTAGCCCAGGGATTTTCTGGGTCCCCAAAATTCCTGAAGACACCAGGCCTCGAGCACCTACTGCTACTTTAGTCGTGCTGGGAAGCTGGGTGTGAGAAGACGGAAAGAACCAGAATCCTCAGCCCAAGGCTGGTCCAGGTGCGCACTGCAGACTGCAGGGATAAGGGAGTGCCTTGGGTGGGGGTGGGGGTGCCACTCTAGCCTTAACATGCCCTATGGGGGTCCACCAGACCCGATCAAAAGCTGGACCCAGATTCAGAAGGGGAGCCGTCCCAAGCCTACCACACACCCCCTCCAGTATCTCTGCTCAGGAAAAGCTCCCAGCGAACCCCAAAAGGTCTGGATTTCTGTCGCAAGGGCAGGTAGCGGCAGGGGAGTAGAAGACAGAAGGGGAGAGGAAGGGAGCAGACATCAGGGTTCCTTTCTGAACCCCTCCACTGTCCCCACCATTCATCCCAAAGCTACTGCCCTAGTCTTGCCACCACCCTCCCTGAACAGCCTCCTAACTCCAAACTCCCCTCCCAGCCTCCTGCCCAGCCTCAAGTCCCGCCCCTTCTTGCAAGTCCATCTGGGTGTTGAAATCTATTTGCCTTATCTGGAGGAAGCTCAGAGTTTCTAAAGCACAAATCCCATACCGTCTCTCCTCACTGCCCTGGGGGTTGAAAAGCCAAGCTCTAGGGTTAGCACACAAACCCTCCTACCCCCTCACCCTCCATACCTCCAGCCACACCCCCTCTACAAGCAGCCTCCCACAGACCCCTGCCCTACCCCTGGGCCTGGTCGGGAGTAAATACTCATTTCCCAGTCCCCACTCCAGGCCGCCTCCTATGTCCTCTGCCTCCTTCACACACACACACACACACACACACACACGCACACTCATCACCACACATGTCCCACAGGAGAGGGGGACGTGTCTGATCTGGAAGGCAGGGTCTGAGACTGTTTCTTGCTTGGCTTGGCCAGACCTCCCACGGGAAGTAGTGGGTGGCGGAGAGAAAGGCCAGCTCCTAAGCTATGACAAGAGAAGGTGAGGTGAAGGACTGCCAGGGCTCCAGACATCAATAACCTGGGGACAGATCAGGAGCTGTGGCTTCAGACCTTGCTACCTGCCTCTCACCAGGTGGGCGCCTGGCTGAGTTGGACTCCTAGCTGGAACACCAAAAAGTCAAACCAAACCAATTGCCATCGAGTCAATTCCAACTCACGGTGACCCTGTGTGTACAGAGCAGAACTGCACTCCTTAGAGTTTTCAATGGCTGTGACCTTTCAGAAGCAGATCACCAGGCCTGTCTTCCCAGGCACCTCTGGGTATGGTTCCAGCCACCAACGCTTGTGTCCCCCAGGGTGGGGTTACAACAAGGGAATAACAAGCCCTCCTGGCCGTGGCTGTTGAGAGGACCTGCAACATTTGAAGTTTGCAGCAAGCAGAGGTGCTGACTAATAAACAGAAGCCCCCACCCTCACCCCCTGAGCAGGATGGCTTTGCAGGCAAGCAGCAGGCACAGGTAAATAAATAGCTTGTTTATTAGTAACATGTAACATTATTAAAGTGCACTGAGAAGAGATGCAGGGGCCGAAGCTAGAAGGCCACCGGCCCCGGGCCCTGCCTTGGCAGGCTAGACGCAGCCGGAGAGGGGCCCAGCTCTCTGCTGAAATCCATGGACAGGGCTGAGGGCAGGGCACCCACCTGGAGAGCTAGGCCCAGGCTGTCCCCACTGGAATTCACAGTATAGCCTAAGTTATAACATGTCCTGAGCTGAAGGTGGGAGGCTAGGAGCATGGAAGCACAGCCCCTGGGGAAGGGGGCTGAGGGGAGGGGAGGGCACCCCCCCGCCCCCCAACCCCCAATGCCAAGGGCAGAGTCCTGGAACCTCCCCCTGAGGACCCGGCTAGTCCTTCTAAATGAACACGGTGAACTAGGGCTCAGTTTTCTCCCTCATTCTCCCCTGTCTCCCTCACTCAACCCCTCCCATAACCACCCCTCCCCCATACCAGTGGTCAGTGTCTGTAGGACACTGGGGGGCTTGTACTGTCCCCCTCGGCCTGGGCTCCCGGGCAGAGCCAGCTCATGCCACTCTCCATGAACCCATGCCCATCTCTGGCCTCTTATACCATCCCCAGGAGCCTCAGACTGGGGCCCCTCCCCCACCCTTCCCCCAGCCCCTCCCTCTCCCACCCCATCCCCAGCCTGTAGTTTTGGTATTTTCATACAGATGCAGTCAGAAGTAGCTATACAAGAAATAAGCCTAACGTAAAAATAGAGCTTTTCCTGTCCTGTCCGGAAAGCAAACATCCTTCAATAAACATGCAAGGCGGCTGTCCAGGGGACTCAGGGCTGGCTCTACCCGGTGCCTATCCCCAGGGCTGGAGGGGGCAGCCCTAGGCCTTCAGGAACACCAGCCAACCCCACCCAAGGGGGGGGGGGAATTAAGGAGATATTTGGATATAGAGAATCCAGAAGGACTCAGGCCTCAGCTTCAAGGTCCAGAGATGGGGTCCTAGACCCCCTTTCCAATCCACAATCCCTGGTCCATGGGGTCTCAGATCCAGAGGACTGTTGCATTTAGCCAAGTCTTTGAAAAATATTCTCCAGGGGACAAAGTCTCGGGTCATAGACACCCCCAGCTTCACAGTCAGCACCTGCATTCTCTGGTCCCCACCACCTGCCCCACCTGGGGCCCAGCAGCCGCCTGCGGCTGGATGTCTCCAGGCCCGGGGACCCCACCAAGGCATTCAGTCCCCCTGGAAGAAGCAGGGGTGAGGAGCCTCAGGCGGCCAGCTCTGTGACTGAGACATTCCTAGTGTCCCAGGGGTTGCAGAAGCCTGAGGCAAGCCTGGCCCAGGAGACCCTAGTGGACCAGCAGGCTGAGGATGAGGGTGGGCAGGACACCCAGCCACAGGGAGGCGGCCAGGGCTCGGGCATGGCCCAGCAGGTGCGCGGCTGTGGTGCCGTCCTCGGGCAACAGCTCCCAGTGCTGGGTCTCGTGGAGGTAGGAGCCCTCCTGGGCCTCGCAGCGGTAGTGGCCATACTGCTGGTCCGTGAGGTTCTCAATGAACAGGATGCAGTTGGGGCTCTGGTGGCCGGGCTCACACCTCTGCTCCACGTTCTCCTTATGGAACCACGAGTAGGTGGCATGGCGGGACTCCATGGGGCAGCTCAGGTAGTAGCGCGAGTTCCGGGCCAGGGACACCTTCTGCAGCGGAGCCCCATCTGGGGAGGTTGCAGGGAGGCAGCGTAAGGAAGGTTCCCAGGAGAGGCTGTGTCCCCCCCATGTGACCGGACCTCCAGGGGCAAGCCTCCTAAATGAATATGTTCTCCCTCACCTTACCCCTCCCAGAATCAGCCCCCACCCCAACGGGGCTCCCTAGGCAGAACTGTAACTGGGGCTCCCAGGGCAAGGCCATGCCTCCCTCCAACGTGGGCAATAGGGCCGGATCCAGTACCTGGCTTTGGGTTGGGACACTCTTTATGTGGCTCAGCTGGATTAATGGACTGCAGCACAGACCTAGAGCTGAAGGAGGGAGGCTGAGCCGATAGGAGGCTGCAGCCCTGGCCCCCCTCCTCATCGTTACACTTCACCCCAGGAGCAGTACTGTTATCCATCCAGAAGGGGGCTGGCCAAAATGGTCCAGCACTGATGCTTCCTGAAGTCCATCAGTACACGCCCACCCCCTCTCCCGTGTCCCCCTTCTCCCAGGGACAAGGGATCCAGCCGACATACCTTGGGACACTGTAGATGGAGACGCAGTGGCCCTGGTCCCAGACGCAGTAGGGGTCTCGGGCCATGAGGCAGCCATGGCAGCCCCCTCTGTAGACTTCACACAGGTCCAGGGGCACCTGGCTGACCCCCTTCTGGGAGGTCACATATAGCTTCCGCTGGAAGGAAAGCAGGACTTGGGGTTAGCCTAGGGCCCCGACACCCTACACAAAGTTTTAAGTCCCAGTCCATAAGGCCAGGCAACTTGGGAAGCCCTGGAGCCCAGAGGTTCCTTAAAGGACATGCAAATCGCAAGCAAAGGAACCCTGTCCTCAGCTGGCCACCAATGGGCAGCCCTGTGAGGTGGGGAGGCTCACCCGGTCAGTGTCCAGCGTCATGGCCTTGATGGCGACTGTCTGGCGGAAGGGCTGGATTTCCATGATGTTGAAGACAAGGCTGTGTTCCTGTTCCCCCGACTCCACAACCTTGTGGATGGTGCCCTTGTCTGTGAGCAATGGGCAGAGGGTCAGTGGTGGGAGCCCACTACAGAGCCGAGGCAGCCTCCCTGGAGGCTGAGCCAGTCCAGGAAAAACATGGAGAGAGACCCAGGTCGGGGTGGCATGCCTCTGGCTCGGAAGTCGTCTGTCAGGCGAGGATCACAGGACTGGTGGGGATGGGGGGAGAGGAGAGCGTGACTAGGGAGGAATGTAGGAGCCCGAGGGCAGCCCAGGAAGTTTCCAAAGCTGGACCAGGAAGGCCATCCCAGGAGGCCCAGAGCTTCCCTGAGAGGGCCTGAAGTCCACCCACGAAGCTGGAGTGTGAAGAACAGAACCAGAAGCCGTGGCACCTGAGTATTGGGTCAAGCCCTCTACCACAGTGGTTCCTCCACAACCTTGTAGGGTGGGTGCAATCCATTTTGCAAGTAAGAAAATGAGGTTCAGAAACGCTAAGCAACTTGCTCAAGGTCACATAGCTGGTGAACGGCAGAGACCAAGTTGGAACCCAGATCTGTCAGAATCCAACCCCTAGGCTTTTATTACTCCCCTGCCTCTTGGATTCTTAAGGGATATATTCTCTTTAAATAAACTTTTAATTTTGGAATAATTTTAGATTTACAGAAAGTTTGCAAAGAGAGCACAGAGAGTCTTCGAATACCCTTCATGCAGCTTCCCCTAATGCTAACATCTTATATAACCATGGTACGTTTGTCACAACTAAGAAATTGACATTGGTACATCACTATTAACTAAACTACAGACTGTTCAGATTCACCAGTTTTTCCACTAATGTCCTTGTTCTGCTCTAGAAGCCAGTCCAGGATCCTACATTACATTTAGTCTTAGAGGATATTGTAATTTTTATAAAATCTTAGATCTGAAAGGGACCTTAGATTCCATCTGGTTAATTTCCAGAGGAGGGAGTGACTTGCCCAAGGCCATATAACCACGCTGCCTGCCTCCCAGATCAATGCACTCTTCGTGAGCACCTGTCAGGGATTAATGGGCATCTTGACCCCTGGGTCCTTCCAATCCCCCATCACACCCCTCTGTCCCAGTTTCTAGAATAGCCTACCTCCTTCTCTCCCTCCTTCCCAATTTCCCAGGGCATCACTTGCCCCAAAAAAGCACAGTCAGATGATCACTTGCCTAGGAAGGCTCCTCTGTGTATCTGTGAACCCCATCTGCAGACTCTGAGATATGGCCAGATGCTCCTTCAGCTGACAAGCCTCTCCCCTGCCACAGCTCCCACCCCGGTCACTGGCTTCACACACCCACCCTGCCCTCCACCTCCTTCTTACACAGCCCCAATCACTGCCTCTCCTTGGTAGAACTCTCAAGAACTGAGCCAACAACTTCTCCCAGTTATGAGAGCCTCCCATTCTCTGCAGAGGATTCAGAAAGTTCTATTTTTCATCTGACCCCAATCCTTCCTGCTGCAGGCTCCAAAATGGCTTTTCTCAAATGGCCCTCAGGGCAAAACAAGACAACTGTCCTCATCACGGAAGTGCACTCGCCTCCCACTTCTGCAAGGAAGGGGGTCTGAGGCTCACTCTGCCCAAGCTCAGCTGCCCTTGTTCTGGCTCCTGGTTCCCAGTACTGTGCTTCCCAATGCCCCACGGTCCCCCTAGCTGACCAAAACAGCTAGACCTATCGTCCCTAGGGCAGAACAAGGAGAGAGCACATGGATGCAACCAGGATGAATAAAGGAGGAAAGAGGTGGGGTCTCAGGGCCCAGAGCCCAGGCTCTGCCCCATAGGAAATTTCTTTCCCCAAGGCTTCCGGGAGCCAAACAATGGCCCTGGGGCTCAGGCTTCCAACGAGGCCACCAAGAAGCAGGAAGTCACATGGGGGAGCCCAAACAATAGGGGGTAGACACCTGGGGCCTGGACTGTGTGGCCCCAGAGTCGCTGAGCACCCAGAGGAGACACTGACCTTTCTAATGGCACCACTGTCCAGTCTTACGGAAGACCTGCAGCCTCTGCCAACGCTGGTCTCCAACAGCCACTCCTGGACTCCCTTTTGGCCACAGCCTGGGACCAGGAAGCTGCCCCACACCAGCTCAAGACTGGCTCCTCCATGTCCTGCGGCTTTCTGGAATGCAGGGGCATCTCCCAAGCATTCCATCTAGCCTCCAGGGTCAGCAAGGCCCTGGTTCCCGCAGGAAAGCCCCCTCCAGGGAAGAACAGGTGCCACCCCAGCCCTTTGCAAAGACTATGCCATCTGGAAGTCCTTCCTCAAGTCACTAAATTCTTTGGGTCCACCTACTCATTAAATGTTTCCTGTCACCTGCATAATCCAAATGCAAGGAACGGGTCCAATTTCCTCACTCAGCCTGGCAGAGGCCTGCAGGATCCCCGGCGAGCAGAGCAGCTCCCTGCTCCTGCCTCTCCACACTTCTTCCTACAACTTCCTTCCCGGAGTCAAACATCCGGACCAAAGCTGTACCAGGCTTTGCTTAGACTCACCACCTTTCTCCCTCCAAATCCTGGTGCATGCTCCTCTCCCATCCTAGGATGTCTTTCCCTTTCCCTTCTGCTCCCACCTCCTCAGGAAGTCCTCCCTGCCTGACTCTTCCAGTCACAGACACTAACCCCTGACAGCGCTTAGTCACTCAAGCCTTCCTTCCTGTGTAAAGCTCCAACCTGATGGTAATCACATTATACCTTCCATGTCCCCTCTTACAAAGCAGACTGGGGAGTCCCGTCCCTCACCTGTGGTTAGGTACAACACATGGACGGTCTCCCCATGGCTGGCCTGCATGCGGTGGACGACTATTTTCTGGTAGTGGTACTTGGAGTGGAACAGTGGTGTCTTCAGCGGTCCCATGGGTTCCACTCGCTGTGACACCTCGGGGTGACTGTCAGCCACCTGGAAGGTCTCCGTGGGTATCGGCTGGTGGTTTGGGAGGCACTGAGAAAGGAGAGCAGCTGGGTCAGTGGGGTGGCTGGGAGTGTGTGGGGTGGGTCTAGGAGCTGGGCCATGGCGGTTTTCATGCTCACCTTGCCAGGCCGAGGGTTGGGAAGGACTGAGTGGTAGCCCTTGAGCGAGGAGGTGCGGAAGACTCTGTCAATGTCACCAAGAGAATACACGCAGACAGCCGAGTAGTTCCTGGGGGGACACAGAGGCCACCTCAGCTCATGGCCCACATCCACCCGTCTCCACTCATCCAGGCCAGCCCAGCACCAGACAGAACACAATCTCAGTCTCCAGCCGAGCTCCCCAGCTCACGAGCTCCATGAAGGCCGGAGCTATCCTCAGGGCCAGGACCAGTGCCGGGCATAGAGCAGATGTTCATTAAACACCATGGAAGGAAAAAGGAAGGAAGGGATGGAGGGAGGGAGGGAGGAAGACAGCCAAGCAAATTCAACCTAATTTCTTTCTGCTGAGAACTGAAACCACAGCCTCACGTTCAGTTCTGGAATCACTGAGCTCAAAGGCTATCTGCTCTGCTCACCCCAAAGAGGAGTCCCAACACAGCCATCTCTGTTGGTGGATTCTCCAACCTCTCTGGACACAGGCTGGAGGACCCTGATGCCCGGGGGGTCAGACCCCATCCCCTCCCAGGCCCGATGGGTCTGCTCACACAGAAGCCACAGAGCAGGGCACTGACCCCACCCTGCCACCCACCTCTCCCCACACACCCCAAACACTTTCTCCTGCTTTGTTTTCAATCAATGAGAGCGATTAAGAAGTGTGAATCACCAGGCGCAGGCAGTGCCCGAGCAGGTGCGATAGCACCCAGCACCGCCAGAGAGGCCTCCGCGGCTCTGAGCACACACTGATGGTGGGACACACAGACACAGGCGCAGCTGCGAGTGTGCACATGGACACAGGCACACACACTCGTTGTACAGACTTACAAACACAACAGCATACACTTCACTGAGCACAGCCCCCACCCTCAGGCTGCATTTAATCCCCAGACCCAGGACCAGCCCTGTCCCTGAGCCCGTAGTCCCTGGTCATGCCACATCAGCTTCCTCTCAGCAGGGTTCAAGCCTGCAGATCCTTACTGGACACTTAACTGATGCCAGCCCCTGGGCCCTGGATGAGGGTCACTCACCAGGGGTTGGAGAAAACGCCATAGACCCTGGTGTCCCTCCACTGGCCGCTGGGGTCAGGGAGCAGGAAGACGTCCTGCAGCCTGTTGAAGTTCTTGTTGGTGGTGGCGTCACTGCACACCAGCATGGCTTTCAGGAAGGTGTTCCACTTGGAGACTGACAGGGAACTCTCACCACCCTGGTCGCCCTGGGAGGGTGGCGGGAGGGGAGGCTCCTCAGCACCTGCCCAGGATGCCCCATGGCCCAAGGCATCTGCTGCCAGGAATGCCAGCACCCAGGTTAAGAGAAGGCAGGCTCGGATTGGGGTAGGGATCTGCTAGGGAACGAGGCAGAGTTGCCACCCAACCCAGGCCTGGCTCCAAGGCCCAGCTCCACCTGGCAGGCTTGCCTGGCCCAGGGCTCAGGGCTGGTGGTGGGGACTCTGCAGGGGAGGGTACTGGGTCCCCACTACGTAGACAGGCTCAGACACTCATCTACCCACTCACACACGTGACTTATATTCTAGCACATTCCCACAAGTGAAGTCCACACATGTAGACACACTTTCACATGCATGCACTCTCCTGCACACACTCTCACACACACGAGTGACACACACGAGTGACACACACGTGCACACTATCACACAGGCACGTGAACTCAACCACATATAACCGCTGACAGATGTCCACTCAGCACACACAAGTGCTCCCACAATCCCATACACATGCACATTTGCACATGCTCCTTTACACACACACATGCATATATGCACATTTGCACTCACTGCCAGTCAGCCTCAGACACAGTTTTGCCCATTCCTCACACACCCGCTCACCTTGCACAGCTGAGCCACACGGGACACGTTAAGCGGGGCCCCGGGGTTCTTGTCAGGATTGTCCTCCCGGAAGAAGTAGTAGATCTTGTCATTGTAGGCCTGGTCTTGGTGCACAATGGTGGCCTTTATGAACTGCGGGTCTGCCAGGGACACAGCCGAGTGGATGTGAGTCTGGGGAACCTGCTTGGGGGACCCACCCCACCCTGCACACATCTGGGTCTGCACAAACCCAGGGCAAGTCAGACCTGGGATAAAACTTAGAACATCAGGTCTAACAGCCCAAGGGCCCCAGAGGCTGCACTCTCACCCCACACCTGTTCTGCCTTCCTTCTCTTCCCACAAAGATGTCATCGACCAGGGAGCAATGACTTCATGCCTCGGGACTGGAGGAAGCCCCCTGGGGCCCTATGTGACTTCTGCCTAATTAGTGGCACCCTAATGAGGAGGGCAGTGCTGGGCTGCCCCCACAGAAGCTCAGCAGGGGAATAAACTTTGGCTCCCAGGGACTCCGTGCTGGGTCTGGGGCTTCCTCTGTTTTTGCTCCCTGGAGTGGGTTGGGCCCATCCTGCCTCCTCACCTCTGTCTCAGCTCTTCCCCTGCTCTCTGCCAACCTGAACTCCTGGATCTGGCTGTTGAGGCCTCCACCAGCTCCCGCTTTCCTGAATGGTCTCTGGCCCCAGCGGCCCTCAGGAAGGCCTCCTAGGGGACACCAGGGTCCCATCCACCCTGGGCATCACACCTCTTGTCTACTGCAGCCCAGCCAGCAGGCCCGACTCACTCTGCATGACAGTGTCACTGGTGTAGAGCTCGCTGTCTCCCTCAATGCGGCGGAACCGGGGGATCTTCCCATTGTATTCCTGCTTCCGGATGGTGGAGTACACCTCCTTCCCTGGGGACAGTAAGAGGGGGCATGGGTAAGGGCAGACAGCCCCTGAAAGTCCATCCCCAGGGCTGGGCCACAGGACAAGGAGCTGACCACCCCCAGCCCAGAGTGGCAGCCCCCCTAGGCCCTCCTGCCCCAGCTGCAGCCCTACCATCAAACAGAACCAAGGAGTTCTCATCGGGGCTGAAGGGCGCATAACCCCTCTTCTCGCCAAGGGACTTCACGGTGCCATTCACCTGGGGAAGGCGAAGGGATCAGACGGCCATGTGATCCCACGGCCACTGCAGCTCCAACCAGGAGCCCCATCCTCCCAGGGTGAGGCCCAGAGTGAGGCCAGCCTCAGAGGCCCCCACCTCCTTCCCACCACAGGGGTCAGAGCCCACCCAGGCCAGAGGAAGCTGATTAGGCACATGCGGAGGGGCCGTCTCACCAGGCTCCAGCAGCTCGGGCGTCGGGCATTGGTGCCACAGATCAACAGTCCCTCGCCCTGCCTCTCTAGGAGGGTGATGTAGTTCTCACAGTCCTGCCCGGGAAGAGAAGAGGGAAGGAGAGAAGTCAGTCAGTAGCACCAGGACACAGTCTCAGAAAGAAGGCATCAGAGGGACAGAAGCACAGGAAGTAGCTTCCAAGGGGAGGCCAGAGGGTATGCAGCTGATTCTATCACCCCAAGAACAGAGAAAGAACAAAGAAGTCTCCAGAGAAAAACCATGTCTCTCCTCTCAGACTGGGAATCCTAGGCAGGAATGCCTCTCTGCTCTCAGATTGGGACTCCCAGGACAAGGCCATGCATCCCCCTGCAGTCTGGACTCCCAGGACAGGGCCATGCCTCCCCTTTCAGTCTGGGCTCCCAGGACAGGGCCATGCCTCCCCCTGCAGTCTGGGCTCCCAGGACAGGGCCATGCCTCCCCCTGCAGTCTGGGCTCCCAGGACAGGGCCATGCCTCCCCCTGCAGTCTGAGCCCCCAGGACAGGGCCATGCCTCCCCTTTCAGTCTGGGCTCCCAGGACAGGGTCATGCCTCTCCTCTCAGACAGTCAGGGTCTCCCCTCCCTTTTCTAAGGGCTCAGCCACCCCACCACACTCCCTCTCCCCCACTCACCCTCTTGTCCTGACAGGACCCCTTGGTGGAGCCAATGTTCACCTGGTGGAAGGAGAAGCATTAGTCCACTCTGCCAGGGGTGAGAAGCCCACCCAAGTGCTTCCCATGTACCCCCAGATGAGCCTGCAATGAAGCAACCAGTGTTCTCACGGTACAGATGAGCAGCTGGGGCTCTGAGAGGGTGAGTAGCTTACCTAGATCACACAGCCCCTCCATCTGACAGCCATGCCCCAGATCCAAAGCCCTGAGCTTAGTGGGCCCGACCCAGAGATCTCAGAAGACAGGGGTCATGGGGTTCTGGGCCCAGCTTCCTGCCGCAGCTTCCCCCATCAGCGCTACCCACCTGGCCAGAGCACTAGCTTCTGACTTTTCTTCAACCACCACCCCGCTTCCAATCTGGACTACTTTTAGGGACCCTCTCCCAAGGACCTTTTACGGGATATAGTGCAGGGTGAGCTAGTTTAGGAAGAGATGCCAACTCTCTCAGATCCCTGGGGCCCCAAGGCCAGAGGGGAGCAAAGGAGAGAGAGGGAGGTGAGGGCGCTAAGGGGCTCGGCTGTGTCCCTAACGCCAGCAGAGGAGGTGCTCACCGTTCCTTGCAGGGAGGCGTTCTTGCCCTCGGGGAAGTCAAAGAGATACACCTTGCTGCGTCCACCCACCCACACAGAGGAGCTGCCGGGCTCATGGAAAAGCACTGTGTGCGGCTCGATCTGGTCAAAGTTCACCTGCTTCTGTCCTTCGCGGTCTGCAGAGGCAGCAAGTGGTAGAACTAGTGAGGCCAGGCCTTGAGGGGAAGATCCTGGATTTCCCACGCACACCAGCCCCCCTAGAAATTAATGCTTGGTGCTCGGGGCACTGGCCAGGCCTCAGAGACAAGGGCTGGGCCGGTGTGACATCAGGACTCATAGCAGAAGTGAAAGGACCCCTAGTGCTGTCCCCACCCCAGAGCTATGCCCCTAGGGTGGCAGCCTCATCCTTCCACACAACATATATGACTTCGGCAGGATTCCGGGGCCCCAGTCTCTGGACTGTGCAAATGGTTAACACGCTCAGCTGCTAACTGAAAGGTTGGAGGTTGAAATCTACCCAGAGGCACCTGGGAAGAAAGACCTGGCGATCTACTTGCGAAAAAATCAGCCACTGAAAACCTAATGGAATACAATTCTACTCTGACACACATGGAGTTGCCATGAATCAGAGTCAACTTGACGGCAACTGGTGGGGAAAACAGACCCTCCCTCTGCTGTTCCTGAGGGGCTAGGCTCAGGCAGGAGGGCCCACAGCCCCTCAGCTCTGCCCCTGGGGCCAAAGCCTGATCTTGGCCCTGTGAATCTCTGCTGCCCCAGGACAGAGCAGACAGCCATCTCCACCCCTGCAGCCAGCGGGGCCTCTGAGCACCCCACTTTACAAAGCCCAGGTTACTGGGGATCACTTTGCCCAGAACCTCATCGTCTCCTGCAGGAAGCCCCCCCTGACCCTTCCTTGCTCACCCCCAGCCCCGCAGTGAGCGCTAGGTAGGTCAGTGTTAGAAACGAATCTTAAAGTCCACTCCCTCCCATTTCACAGCATTCACAGCTGGGAAAACAGAGGTCAGGAGAGGGGCAGGGACCAGCCCAAGGTCACATGGAAGCAAGTCTGGTAGTAGGGCCTGAACCAGAGCCCATACTCCCGCCCCCGGCTGGACTCTGCGGCATGGCCTACTCTGGCCTGGCTTCCCTCAGATTCCAGCCCTTCCAAGGAGGAAGATCAGCTCAGCCCTCGCTCCCCAGCAGCCCTGGGACAGGGAGTTCTTCTCAGAGCATATTCTGTGCCTTTAAGCAGAAGGGTTGACCGGGACTATTTTGCCCAAAAAGGAAACTGTCTGCAGCAGCCACCTCCAGGGAGATGTCTCATCTCCAACTCTGGCGACATTGCTGAGGTTGTTCTGGTTGCAGGACTAAATTATAGGGAGGGGATAGCCCATGGCTATGCCCTTAGCAATCAGCCACAACCAGCATCCTCCCACCTCTGACCAGCCTGGGGGCCTCACCCGGGAACTTGGCCTGAAGATTGTTTTTTCAGCTGCAGCAAACTCCAGGGCAGCCAGCTTGGCAGTGACATCCAAGCAGGGCACACTCCAGCCCAGGGAGAAAAGAAGCGCCATTTCCTCGAGTCTGCCCTGAATCTCTCTTGCTGCCACTTGAACCCATTCAGTGAGGATAAACAGGACCGCACACCATGGGCCCCACACTTCCATTCCTTTCCTCATGCTACCTCTCTGCCTGACAGACAACCCTAGAAGCTGGCGGGGAATGGAGGGGAGGCGGAAGGGGATGATATGTTCACGCTTCACCTCAGCTGCACCCTAGCAGGGGTACAAAGGAAGAAACCGAGGCCCCCTGGGGGGTACATCTAGCCAAGGTCACACTCCAAGGCAGGATACATCGGACCCTCCAGACGGAGTATCAGTTCTCAGGCACGTTCAGGGAGAGGTCAGCTCTCTGGCTGCGGAGCGAAGTGCTGAGCTCACTACCCTCTGGTCCACTTGGCTCTCCCGGGGGGGTCTGGGCAGCCCAAGGGAGGTCTGGGACCCCAGGCTCAATCCTCGTCAAACCCAATGTTCAGGGCAGGGGCTGAGAGCCCAGCTCAGTCCTGGGGGTGTTGGCCAAGGCTAGGCAAAGCAGACAGATCCCAGGTTCCAGGCTCTGACGCCAGCCCCGGCCGCTCCCCTGCCTACCACCCCTTCCCGAGGAGGTAAAAACCAGAGGAGTGCTGAGGTCAGCGTCTGCATCCCCCTGGCCTTCCTGACTCAGCTCCCACGGCTCCCCTTTCACCCGCAGCCTCAGCAGAGCCACCTCCCCACGGCCCAGCCTGGGATCCAGACAGTCTGTGGCCCCAGCTCCCCTCCCACTCAATCCACACCAGCCGGCCCCCAAGAAGAGCAGCAAGTCTGCGTCTGGAGACATTGGGCTGGGACCTGAGATCCACAGCTCTCAGGGTGCAGAGTGGGGAAGCCCCACCCCTCAGGCCATACTGGCAACCTCCAGCAGTCACCTCAACCCCACACCACACCTCAGAGGAAGGGCTGCTCCTGGGGAAAGAGGCACCAGGAGGGAGCCCTGGAGAGGGTACTTGTCTGGGGGCTGCAGGGCAGTCAAAGGGAGGAGACTTAGACCTGGCCTGAGGAGCCAAGTCTGATGGGGGTGACCTGGCCTGGCTCTGGAGATGAAGATCTGAGGCACACCTGGCCCTGGTAACCAATCTGAGGGCTAATGCAGGCACACCAAAGAAAGCCTGCACAGCTCTCAAGCAAAACTGTCTCGGTGTGGCCCCCAGGGCTGCTCATAAAGTATCTGCAGAATACACAAAGCAGGGTGAGGGCTGGGTGTCACTGCAGGGCCAGGACAGTCACGCAAGGGTCTGCAACCTGAGCCCAGGTTCCCTCAAATCTGGCTGCAGCCTTGGGGTGGGGGTGCGGTAATAGCCACTGTTGGTTCCATTTTGCAGAACCAGTAGGAGCCCAGGAGCCTCCCATGACCCTAGGCTCCCATCCCTCCCGGGTCTGGTGATGTGTATGAGGGGGAGGCAGGGAGATGGCGCCAGCACGGCCACAGGACTGGCCCATTCTCCACCCCAGCCCCAGCCCCAGCCTGCACCGCGCACTGCCCGAGGCCCTCAAAAGGCTTGATTGTGCCCTGGAAAGTGTCGGAGCAGCAGCAGCCCAATGAATACATGAAAGGAAGCTTTGTTCCTGCCGGGAACGGGGGCTGGGGGCGCAGGGAAAGGAGGGCTGCCTGGAAGTGAAGGCAGCACCAAGCCATCCCGGTCAGGATAGGGGCCCAGTCTCAACACCGAGAGAGCTGGGCCAGGGCAGGGGGTGACCTTCAAGGCGCTGCCCAGGCAGGCACTGAGCAAGGCCCGGGCTGCCCAGGGCAAGAGAGCAAATGTCACATCCCTAAGTGCTTTCTTTCTGCCGCATTGTGAATCAAAAGGGATGGGAAAGGAGGATAAAAGCTAGATGGCCAACAACAGGCAGGACAGAATTCTGGGAAAGGAAACCGCCTGAGCAAAGGTGGGGAGGCAAACGGATAGAAGGGACGGGGACAGAGGCCACGTGCTGCAGCCTGGGGGAGACCTAATGAGAGAAGAATTGCGAAGGTGGGCTGAGGCCCCTGTGTGATGGGGGTGGGCTGCAGCCACTGGCCAAGTGCCAGCCCAAGGGCACACAGACCCATGCCTACCAGCAAGCATGGCCAGGATTGGGAACTGCTGCCGCCTCTGGTGTTCCCCCCCACCCCGCATCCCCCTGCCCGACCAGCTTCCCATCCCGTGTGTCTAAAAGGAGCACCGTCTGGCACCGTGTCTCCCCCCTCACTCCCTAGCCTGACGCATTAGTGGCTGACTAAGTGGTAGCTAAAAGCTCCCAGAATAACCAGGGGTTTGGGCAGGGGAGGGGGCTGGGGCGCATGGGGTGGGCATAGCCCCAGAGGTGGGCCAGGCACAAGACAACCCACCGCCACGCCACCTCCGTGTGATCCTGAGCCAATACCACTCTTTCTTGACCAAGAGAGACACAGCGGGACTCCCCGGCCCTCCAACTCCCCATCCTCCTCCCAGGGCAGGACCAGCAAGCCCAGCCAGGCCAGACATGGGGGCCCAGAGGCTGGCTGGCTTGTGGGAGGCGGTCTCCCCCAGACACAGCTCCAGCCAGGGTGTCCATGGGCTCTGGTCCTGCTAGAAGAATCAGGCCTGGTTCCTCTCACAGACCCGCATGCTCCCCACACTGTCCCAGCAGCCGACCTGCCCTGCAAGTCTGGGCTTCTACAGGGCTGGTGTGCCTAAAGCAGGCCTGCCTGGTGACAGCAGCCCTCCCCTCATTCCCTCTGGGCGCTGTCACTGCCGCCACACATTCTCATTGATTGCAAAAGAGGAGGACAGACCAAGGAGGGGGGCTACCAGAGTCAGGCCTGGAATGCGGTGGGGGGATCATTGCCTGCAAGGCAGCAACAAGGGGTGGGCCCCAAGGCCTGGCCTGAGCAGCCTTCCAACCTGACCCACTGACCCCAAGGAGCATTGAGTGCTGACCTCAATGAGCCCTTTGAAAGTGGGTGGCTAGGCTCTGGGAATGGGAGGAATGTGGGCCCTCCACCAGGGAATATCTCAGTCAGGCAGCTAGGGGGACGCAGGGCAAGGGACAGCGACCACAGCAACCTCAGGCTGGAGACCCAAATACAGACAGCAGAGCCTCCTCCCACAGCTGAACCCCATCCTGCATTGCCTCACCCACCTCACACCCTCACCCAACCACGTACCTAGCTGGGGAGAAGAGGGGAGGCCCACTTGGGGCCCAGGAACTGGCCTGCAGCCTTTCTATCCCCCTTTGGATTCCACACCCACAGGTTGCGTTGGAAGGGAAGGGGTCTGAACAATCTCTGAGCTGAGGGGCTCTGAGGTCAGAGAGGCTAGGCCAATGGCCCAAGGGCACACAGCAACGGAGGCAGGGACAGGGCTAGGCCAGGTCTCAGGGTTTCTGGTACCCATCACCTATCTCCATCCCTCCAAGGACCACATTCCAAAAGATCCTCTAGATTTACAAAGGGAGCCCTGGTGATCCCCAAGTGGTTAAGAGCTCAGGCTGCTAATCAAAAGGTCAGCAATCACAGTTCGAATCCACCAGCTGCTCCTTGGAAACCCTATGGGGCAGTTCTACTCTGTCACCTAGTTCTACTGTGTCACCCAGGCTTTCCACACTTCCTTCCCCCTTGC